AAAAATAAAATTTAAAAATTTAAAATATTTAATATTGTTATGAAAAAGTGTTATGGTGAATTGAATTTTTTTAAAAAATATGCATAAAATAATAAAAACTTAGTTATACAAGAATGATAAAATTATTTTATTCATAAAAATTACATTTGAATGCATAAAGCAATAATTTTTTTGTTTGAATTTGCATTAAAAATCAAATATTTAAACCTAAAAGTCACATTTTTTTTTATTAGTTAGCATTGAAATTGAATTGAAATCAGATTTTGAATACAAAAGTTACTTTCAACCTCAAAGCTAAACTAACCATTATTATTAATTGATTTTAAAATTAAATATTTAACTTAAACAAATAATATATAATGTTATACACTAATTCAAAAATTGAATTCAAATCTCTCTTATATTTTATTATTTTGTCTAATTTGGGTGATGGAAATGGAAAAGAATTGCAGCCATTTTAGAGCAAGCCTTAATGCATGAATTAAAGTCAAAGACTGCTTCAAGCAATTTAAAAAATTATTATTAGTTGGATATTTTAGGAAGGTTTTTTTCTAATATATAATTAAAAAATTGTTTTATATATGTTAATTATTGAAAATTTTGGAATAGTAGGCGAAGGTGGAAACGGGCAACTACCCTTTCTAACAATGTGATCATAATATTAATTAAACCCCTCTTAGACTAGTCAAGTCAACAAAGCTAAAATTCAAGGTTTTTAAATTTTAATATTTTAATTCATTTCAAGAAATTTAAAATCATTAATTTATATAATCACTTTTAAATAATAAATATATAATAAATTTAAAATTTAAATAATTTATTTTCTTTATCTTTAAATTATAGTTTCTTTTTTAAAATAATTTTAACTCATTTTGATCCACTTTTATGTAACTTTGTGGAAATAATTAATAATGAATGGTTTCATTTCACATAGATAAGATTGAAAAGGAATTCCTTTTTTTTTTTTTTTGTGTGTGTAATTAAAGGTGTAATCGAGTCAAGTTGAATCGATACAGTGAGAAGTTCAAGCTCGAGCTCGACTCACAACTCAGGATTCGATACTCGACTTGAACTCGATCGAGTTTTATTTTTCAAGCTCGAGCTTGATTCGTGATCAAATTCGAGTTACTCAAGCTTGATTCATGATCGAATTCCAGCTACTCGAGCTCGCTCGATTAAATTCGATTAATATGTAAAAATAAACTCGATTCATATATTCGACAAGAGTTCGATTATTTATATTCGAACTTGAACTTGAATTCGAAATATTTAATTAATTAAAATAATAAAAATATATTTAAATATAAAAGCTCGATTAGACTCGCGAGCTATTCGAGCTGGATATAAAAATACTCGAATTCAGTTCGATCGATAAGTCGAGCTACTCGAATTCGAGCTCGACTCGATAATAATCGAACCGAATTCGAGTTTTCTTCAAATCAAACTCGAATAGCTTACGAATATTAATATATCATTTACATCTTTACGTGCAACAAAGCCTGAAATTATGAAGCCTTGGGTAGCTTTTCCTTCTCATTTTCTGCATAAAAGATAAGTTAATACATATAATATATATATATATATATATTTATATAAGAAGGATTCACTTATAAGAATTATACATTTTAAACATTAAATCAAAATTAAATTTATAATATTTATACTTAAGCATTTTGATTTAACAATACAAAAATATATAATTCTTACATTACTATAAATGGATCTATCTTCTCTGTCTTTATATATATAAATAGGGATTCATTTACATTAGTATAAGTATTATATATTTTTTTATTATTAGATCAAAATTAAATTCATAACATTTATATTTAATCATTTTAATTTAATGATTAAAAAAGTATAATATTTATATTTTTGTAAATTAATTCCTTAAATATATATTTATATATATATATATATATATATATATATATATAAGGTCCAAATCGTGAATATAAAATTATAATTGGTTATTTGGATGGTTTAACCTAACTCTTTATTTATTTTATATTGATTAATTAAATTAAAGCCATAATTACTAACATGGCAAGAGTAATATCTCATTAAGCATTCTCGTGATCCCTAAATTTTAAATCAAAATTTATTTTTGATTTTAATATTTAAAAAGTTTTGATTATATTTTTAATCCTACTTTGTCCTCCCATCTATAGAATCATTTATATTTGATGCTAAATATCAACTAGCATCATGTGGATGATATCAATAGACATCTCACGTAATAGATAAAAATACGAAAATAAAATTTTGCTTAAAGTTTAAGGACCAATAATGTTATTATCTCAAAATTTTTATATTATATATTTATAAAATATTAAATTTAAAATAATTTTTTTATATTTTTATTATAATATAATTTATTACTTAAATATTTTATGTTTTTAATAGAAAATAAATTTTCAAAAATTAAAATTAAGTTAAAAGTTTCAAAATCCTTTTTAAAAAATTTTATATTATTTTAAAAACAAAAAATCTACTTTCCTTTAAAAAAAAAATTATTTACTGATAAATGATAATAAAAATATTATTATTTTTTTAAAATATTAGTTATCTTTTCCTATATCTTTTTTCGTATTTTATAAAGATGAAAGCAAGAAAAAAATAAAAATAGTAAAGAAAAATTTGATTTTTTTAATATTTCAAACATATTTTATGAAATATTATAATTTAAAAAAATTTTTATTTTTATTATGATATGATTTATCAATAAAATAATATTTTAAATACAAAATAGATTTTTAAAAAAATTAAAATTAAGTTAAAAATTCAAAATCCTTTTTAAAAAAATTCATTTTATTTTAAAAATTAAGTAAAAATTTATATATCGATCTAAAAATTAAATAAAAATTCTATATCATTTAAAAATATTAAGTAAAAAATTTCATATCATTTAAAAAAAACATTAATTATATTTTCTATCTAAAAAATTTATTTTAATTCTATTTTCTATTAAAATCTTATATTTATATAAAAAAATAAAAAAATTATTTTCAATAATCTGATTTCTTTCATAGATGGTGGTAAGGACCGTTCTTATTGTTTATTTTTTTTTATATTTTTTATAAATATAAAATTTTAATATAAAATAGATTTAATCAAAATATTTATGCTTCTTTTGCAGAAAGCCCAATTATAGTGGGCTAACATGTTGTGGCCATGTCCCATTTTGTATTAGCTTTGTCTTGGAAGTTGAAAGCCGACTTAGCTCAATGATTGTTTTATTTTATTCGATGGCAAAGGAATTTTAGGTTTCTATTAAGATTTTTTTTTTTGTTGGTCTAAATAAATTTAAGAAAAATTACTTTTTTTTTTTACAAATTTTAAGTAAATTTGAATCCAAATAATAATTTAAAAAATATTTTTTTTATCACTTGAATCAACCATTGATAGCTCAATACTTGTTGAAGATATTGAATACGTATCTTGTACTCGAAAAGAGATATGTTCTTATAAGTTTGGGTGGGAACTCTACCTATTGCTCTTTGTAATTATGATGCTTCTTAGTTTGAATGAAATTTTTTCTAAAAAAAATTTATCTTTTACTCAAAGAGATTCACCAAGATAATTTAACCATTAACGATCTTAATTTATCATTTTTGATATAATATTATAAATTAATGGTGATTTTAAATTATTATATATAATATTACATAAAAAATCTTTAAATTTAAAACATCTAAAACAATTATATTATAAGTAATAAAATTATTTTAAAAAATAATTTTAATTTTTATAAATAAATCAATTAAATTAAATCTTAAATTTATCAAGATCGACTTTTAAAAATGTGAGAATGACATAAATATGAAGGAAGGCACAAGACTCTGCAAGCCACGGGTGACACTGCAGAATGCAGAAGATGAGGTAGATATATCAGAGAAGAGAAAACAAGGGGCCTGGCTGGAATGTGAAAGGGAAACCATGTTCGCCATTGCCAGCTAGCTAAGGTCCAGTTTTGATTCGCGTTGGTAAGCTATTGCCCACCATTGGTTAATGTAACTTCGATATGGTAATTTACAATTGAATATATTGATATGATATTAATATGAGATAAAAAAAGTAATGTAATTTAAAATTTTAGTAATAATTATATATGAATTTAATAAAATATTTTTATATTTATATAAAATTATGATATATAATTTTCGTTTAAAATAATATAAATATAAAAATTTAAATGTTTTACAAAATATAAATATACGAATCACTAAATCTAATATAAACCTATGTTCTACTACACAAATCTTTTATGTGAGTGATAGGACAAGTATGAATTTTTTTTATGTTAAATTTGTGATTTAACAAAAAATGATTTAATGTAAATATTAATAAAAAATTAAATCGATATATTAATAAAATTTAATAAAAATAATAATTTTTAAAAAATTAAAAATTTCACTTATAATTTAAATTTGATTAATACTTATTTAATAATAAAAAATTTATCAAAATTTAAAAAAAAATATTTATCTAAAAAATATATTAATTCTTTTAAAACTTTTTCAAATTTTAAACACTTAATTTATGTAATATGATCTTTTGATATATCGATTTGGATTGTAGATTTTAATTTCATTTAATCAATTTTAGTAAAAAATTTGATCTAAAAAACTTTTTTCAAAATTTTTTCTTCATTTCTGCACAAAATTGTTCATCTTTGGAAGTAGCCATATATGTTTTAAGTTGGTAAGAGGTAAGCACAAAACCAATTCTTATCTATGAGTATAAAGAAATTTTTTTTATAGAATATTAATAAGAAAAAAATTATAAAAATTAAAAATTAAATCTATTTAATGTTATTTTTAAAAAATAATTATATAAGTTAATTACGTTAAAAGCTTTTTTGGAATTGGAGAAGAAATAACCAAAGTTAGTATGAAAGAATGAAGATTCTATTCAATGTCATGTTTTCTATTTTAATGGATTCGAGAATGTACAAGCTAGGTGAGCATTTTCTATTTTAGCTAATGTTTAACCTAGCATAAAATATAAGCAAATAAAGAGAAAAAAAAAATGGAGATATGTATGCTAAAAAAATTCTTCTCCTTTCAAAGTTCAAACTCATCTCTAACGTGTCCACTTCTCCATTACTGGCTAGATTTAGCTGAAATTGTCACCCACCTAGACTTTTTGTCACTTTATATAAAGCCCTCCCCCCTTCCCCACCCATATAACCTGCCAAAAATTAATCTCACAAGTGTATTTCTTTCCACCATCTTCTTCACCACTTGCTCCCCCACCTAATCCTTCTAACCATGCAAGCCTCACTTCACTTCTTCACCACCATCACCACCACCACCACCACAACCAACTCAACAACCCCAAATCATGAAGCTCTCCTTCATGCTCAGTATCCATTGTTTACATGCAAAATTCTTGTCAATCCTTCCAAGAAAACAATTCCTTGGAATCCGTTAACAAGACCACCTCTTGAGGTTGAACCTATGGTCAAGCCTGAACGTGTTTTGGTTCCACCACAAGGACCAAACTATCCTGTTCACTTTAATCCATTTCAAAAGCTAGCAGCATTAGCTTTAGACAAAATTGAGACCTCGGTGATCATGCCACTAGAAAAAAATCATGACTTGCCTAAAATGGTTGATCCGGCGGTTCAAATGTCAGGTAACTTTGCACCGGTTCAAGAGTGTCCGGTTCAGCATGGGTTGGAAGTGGTGGGTCAGATTCCTGCTTGCCTACGTGGCATCTATGTCCGAAACGGTGCAAATCCTATGTTTGCACCCTCCGGTGGACACCATTTGTTTGACGGTGATGGGATGCTCCATGCCGTTTGCTTGGGCCTTGGGAATAGAGCTAGCTATAGTTGCAGGTACACTCGAACGAGCCGGTTGGTTCAAGAAGCCCAGTTGGGTCGGTCCATGTTTCCTAAACCAATTGGCGAGTTGCATGGGCATTTGGGTTTGGCTAGGCTCGGTCTGTTCATGGCTCGAACTGGTGTAGGCTTGGTTGATGGTTCACATGGCACGGGTGTGGCAAATGCTGGACTTGTTTACTTCAATGGGCGATTATTAGCCATGTCGGAAGATGATCTTCCTTATCATGTTAAAATCAATGATGATGCTGATCTTGAAACTATCGGACGGTTCAATTTTGATGATCAAATTGATTGTCCATTGATCGCTCATCCCAAATTAGATCCTGTTACAGGTGAGTTGCACACTCTGAGTTACAATGTTTTAAAGAAACCCTACTTGAAATATTTCAAGTTTGATAAATTCGGCAAAAAGTTAAGTGATTTACACGTGGCTATCGAGCAGGCAACGATGATTCATGACTTTGCTATAACAGAGAATTTTGTAGTAATCCCGGATCACCAAATGGTATTCAAGTTATCCGAAATGATCCGGGGAGGGTCACCCGTTGTATATGACAAAAAGAAGACATCTCGGTTTGGAATTTTGCAACAAAATGATGTTGATGGATCGAGAATCCAATGGATTGACGTACCAAATTGCTTCTGTTTCCATTTATGGAATGCATGGGAAGAAAATTCTGATAATGGTGATAAAATAATCGTCGTTATTGGATCCTGTATGAACCCGCCGGACTCCATTTTCAACGACTCTAAAGACCTGTTCCGAAGTGAGCTATCCGAAATCAGGATGAACTTAAGAGCAGGAGAGTCAACACAAAGGGTTATTATATCAGGCATGAACTTGGAAGCAGGTCAAGTGAACCGGCAATATCAGGGTCGAAAGACTCGGTTCGTGTACTTGGCGATAGCAGAGCCATGGCCAAAGTGTTCTGGCATTGCTAAAGTTGATTTAGAGACAGGAGAAGTCACCAAGTTCATGTATGGACCATGGCGTTTTGGGGGTGAGCCATTTTTTGTGCCTGAAAAGAAGCAGAAATTTGGGGACAATAATAGTGAAGCTGAAGCTGAAGCTGAAGCTGAAGATGAAGGATATATAATGGGGCTTATGAGAGATGAAAAGAGGGAGATTTCGGAGCTGGTAATAGTGAAAGCTTTGAGCATGGAGCAAGTGGCTGCCATAATGTTGCCTACAAGGGTTCCATACGGGTTTCATGGCACGTTTGTCAGCCAAGAAGAGCTAAGCCGACAAGTCGTCTGAAAATATAGCTATATAGCTTGGCTTTGGTGTAATGTTTGTATATATGGTCAAATTAATATGGAAGCTTGTACAGCCTTTTTTTTTTTTAGTGTTCATGTGCATAAATAATATTACCATTAATTGAAAATTTCTTTTCTTTTCTTTTCATTTCTTTTATTTCCCTCGTGAAGAGATCAGACAGACAGAGATTGAGAGTTGTAATAACACTATGATCCATAAAAATGACAAATGCTAGGAATCAGTGATTATTGTCTCAAAGTTGAGCGGTGACGGTTTGGCGGTGCTCGTATATATTAATGCCGTGCATTGAAGTTGTTTCATAGGCGGTGTTAACAAGTGTCAATCTAGCATGCTAAGTTGGTAAGTACGAGTTGCTTTTCAAATTGACGTGGCAAAATAAATTTAAAATTATCCAAAAAAATTACATAAGAAGATTGAAGATGCCTCTTATTATATTAATAATAATAATAAAAAAACAACTGTCCACCTCTGTGGCAAATGCTATTACTAAAAGTATTTCTTTTTCTTTTTTACATTTTCTCTGTTAAAAAATAATGCTAAACATATAAATATAATAAGAATTGAATTGATTTTATGTTGGATAAGCATATAATTTTAACAAGAAGTTAATTAGTTATTATTAATTGATTTTAAATATAAGTTATATTTAATGTATTATTAGTATATAGAATTTATGTGTTATTAGTCATCAAAACAGTTTTAAGACTGTTAAACATAAAAAAATTTTAAAAATGGAGGAATATAGAGAGAGTCGCCAAGGGGTGGTTTAGGGTATGGTCAAAGACTGCAGGGGAGTGGATAGTTGATTGCTATGGGATGGTCTAGGGTAGGTAGGTGCACAGGCTGGTGTCATGCATTACACCGTGACTAACCTTATTTTTTTTTTGCTTTTATTACTTAATATTTAATTATTAATAAAATTAAACAAAATTAAAAATTAGGGCTTAATCTAAAACACTCGAACAAAATTCAATATCTATAGCTACCCCTCTTTACGTGTTTTTGAGAATCAGGAATAAGGCAAAGACAAAGGCAGTAATTTTGTTCGAAGTCAAATTTTTTTTTTTTTGACTTTAATGATTTGAATTGACGTGGGTTGAAAAATATAATGAGCGAAATTGAATCATGAGTTTGAAAATAAAGATGACCACGATTGAACCATGAGTCAGGAACAAATATGATCGGGACTAAATTGCAAGTTGAGTAATAAAAATGTCTAAGATTAAATTGTGAGTCGAAAGATAAATATAATCGAGACTGAGCTGCAAGTCAAAGAATAAATATGATCGAGACTGAGCTGCAAGTTGTGAAATGAAAATGACCAGAATTAAACTGCTAGTTGAATAATAAAGATGATCAAGATTGAGCCGCACGTAGAGGAATAAAGATGACTGAGACTAAGTCACAAGTTAAAAAATAAAAATGACCAAGATTGAACTACAAGTCAAAGAATAAAGATGATTAGGATTGAACTGTAAGTTGAAAGATAAAGATGATTGGGATTAAACCGCAAGTCAAACAATAAATGTGATCGGGATTGAATCGCAAGTAGAAGAACAAATACAATTGGGACTGAGTTGTAAGTCAAAAAATAAGAATCGATCGAGACAACATTGTAAGTCAAATAAAGTGATTGTTAATCTGGGTTTACATGCTAGCTAAACTGGGTATAAAACTTTCTTTAGTGCCAAATAAACTGTGTTTAAAATTTCATTAGGGCCAGCTAAACTGGCCTAAAATTTTATTGAGGGTTAGATAAACTGAGCCTAAAATTAGGTTCCAGTTGAGCTAGACTTAAAAATTTTATTAGAAGTCAGCTAAATTAGGCTTAAATTTGCACTGGATGCTAGATAAACTGGGCTTAAATTTTTTGGCTCCAGCTAAACTGGGCGTAGAAATTCCTTGGGTGCCAATTAAACTGAGTTTAAAATATTTTTTTGTGCCAATTAAACTGGGCTTAAAATTCATTGGGTGCCAGGTAAACTAAGCTTAAATTTTTATGTAGACTTAAAGTTTTCTAAGGAACTAATAATTCCTATTAGAAATGAAAAGAGTGAAAAATCTCTTTCAATGGATTTGATGATTTTGCACCAATAGATTCTTGTTGATTTAAAAAGACTTCACCACTTAAAATAGATAATATGGGTGTATACTTTTTTAACTAATTCGGGCTTATGTGTCAGCTAATCTGGGTTTATTATGCCAGCTAAACTGGGCTTATGTGCCAGTTAAATTGAGTTTATGGCTTCATGATGCCAGTTAATATTGGGCTTTACATGTCAGCTAATCTAGGTTTAAATCTTATTGATACTAACTAAATTGGGCTTAAGGCTTCATTGATATAAGATAATTTAGGCTTGTGTGCCAACTACATTAGGCTTAAAACTTCATTGATGCTATCTAAACTAGGTTTAAAACTTCATGGGTGCCAGAGAATTTGAGCTTGCATGCTAGCTATATTGGGTTTAAATCTCATTAAAGCCAATTAAATTAGGCTTAAGACTTCATTGATGCTAGCTAAATTGGGCTTAAGACTTCATTAGTGCTAGATAATTTGAGCTTGTGTGCTAGTTACACTGAGCTTAAATCTCATTGATGCCAGCTAAATTAGGCTTAAGACTTTATTGGTGTCAGATAATTTGGGCTTACGTGTCAGCTACACCAGGCTTAACTCTCGAGATGCGAGCTAAACTGGGCTTAAAATTTCATTGAAGACTAGATAAACTAGGCTTAAAACCTGGGTATCAGCTATATTGGGCTTAAAATCTCATTGGCGCCAACTAAACTAGGTTTAAAACTTAGGTGCCAGCTAAATTGGGCTTAAATTCTAAAGAATTGACAATTTCTATCAAAAATGAAAGTGGTGAAAATTTTCTTTCCAAAGGTTGAATGGTTTTGTATATGGAGATTTTTGTTTATTCAAAAAGGTTTCAATACTTAAAGGAAATAAAAGGGACATATAATTTTTTATGCAAGCTTATAGATGAAACATAAGTTTTTCTAAAAACATGAATTCCATGAAAACTAAACATATTCAACATTTTCTTTAGCCTTTAAATGCGACCTTTTGATATATATCAATATTAGCTGTAAGGGCTCGAGATTTTAAAAGATTATTCGGGAATGGACAAAAATTGAGATATTTGAAATCAACCCCTTTCAAACTTCTGGGACTTTGGTATTTCGGATCTTTAAAAAAGGTTTGACTTACTTTTATTCAACATCCACCACATTTAGCATTAGGAGTGGCCTTTCAGATTTGCTCTAAACTATTTTTTTTAGCCTTAGAACCATATTTATTTATTTTTCTTTTTTTTTTACTCTCGTTTTGTCCTTTTTTATTATTACACCATGCCTCTGAGAATTTAACTTTATCCAAAAGAGAAAAATTTTTTTTTCAAAAGGGGTTAACGATCCAAACAGGAAATTAAGTAATAAAAAGGGGACCCAAAAGATTAATGGTAATTTTTTCAAGAGAAATTCTTCAATTTTAAGCTTTTATGATTGATCCAATATAGGCTTTTCACAGGATATAACATGAGTTAAGGTTCAAGGTTGTAAAAAAAAAGGATAAAAATGCTCAAAACAAATATTTAAGGGTATTTAAAACTAATGATCATTTTTTCATTTGAAGGATACACTGTAAGGTATATTCTTTTTTGCTTTCCACCATTCATTTCTCTTTTTTTTCCTTCTTTTATTTTTTTCCTTTCTTTTTATTTTTTTTTTTTTTGTCATTGAGTGGATTCAAAACTTTTGTTAACTTTTATATTGGGCTTTTGCCTCATCACAGTGGATTCCATTTGGACATCCTTATTTTTAACCTCTAAATGTGGAGGGTGATTCTTAGTTATGGTTTATTTTGAAAGAATTTAATCAGGCACAAAAGAGTAGTAAAGAATAAATTTCTACTTTTGTGAAGGGATAATGAAAAACGGTTATTTGTCATTTCAAGTATAGATACTTAAATTTAAGAGCAATTCATTTTAGGAAAATAAATTTAAAGAAAGGTTTTCATTTCAAAAGTTTTTGTTTTTTTGCCTTTTTTATTTTAGGCTTTTTCTTTATCCCCTTTTCAAAACTTTGAATTTGTCAAGACTATTTAGATTTATTCAAATTTCCTAAGTGCATGATATCATAACCATTTTTTTTCTTTTGTTTGTTTTTTACATGCCCTCATGACTTAAACCTAAATTCATTTTTTCAATAATATGTTTCATGAAAGATGCCCAATTTTAGCAAACTATCCTTAATGAAAGTTATTATAAGGAAGGGTTATATAGAATGAACGATTCATATGGAATAAACTGTTTGAGGTACCAAATGATCCATGTCACTTTATTAAAAAATGAATGAATGGATTGATCATAGCTCAAATTATATTAAGGGTAATGAGATCTTTTTTTTTTTTATCAAAGTGTACTTGAGACCCATAGGTCAGGCCAATTTTAGGGTAAAAGGGTTGAAAAATTGGTAAATATAAGCAACATGCCCTTGAGACACATGAGCTAGGCCAATTTTTGGGTAAAGGATTGAAAGATTGGTAACTCTATGGTCATTTTACAAGACTTGGGATGACTTTGACTTTGAAAATTTTTTAAAACTTTAGCATAACATTGTCATATAAAATTATTTTATTTGAATTCTTAAAAATGTCTTATATACTTTATTTTCTAAGAACCATTTTTTTTTCGTTGGCTATTTCATCATTCGTTGCCTTGAAAAATAATATCACAGTTTGATATCATAACATTATCAAGTGAAAACAAGGTTCACAAATTGAAATTGACATTCAAAGTTGTTGAGGAGTCATAACTAATGAAACGAAGTCAATTGGATGATTTAAGAAAGTTGGTGTTTAGGCATTAGAGAAATTCCTAATAGTGATCACTAATTTATTCTAGACTTAAAATTTTTTTTTTTGTTTTTTCCTTTTTACACTTTTACATTTTTTCCTTTTCTTTTTTTTTTTTAAAGGTATTTTCCATTTTATAACCTTGGTACTTAACTATTTCGGGCTTTAATTTAAATCTAACTTTTTTTCTTTTTTCTAATTTTCTTTCAAAGAAAACCTATAAGTCTAAAATTTAAAAAAAATTATAAACATTAAATGACAATATAAATCCATGAAACCCTCATGGTGTACAAGACCTATTCATATAATGCAAACATTCAAACCTGACCTAAAAATTTACATTCGTAATAGTACTCATGGGATGACACTCAAACTTACAAACAATGGTT